GACTACATCCTTGTGAAACATCGATTCAGAAACAGTGTAAAGGATGTGAAGACGCTGCCTGGGGCAGATATTGACTCTGACCACAACTTACTGGTTGCCAAGTTCCGAGCCAGGTTGAAGAAAATTGTAAGATTTCAAAAGCGCATACCTAGATGGGATTTGGAGAAGTTATATGCTCAAAGACAAAGCGTGCAGGAGACCCTAGAAGAGAAACTCGGTGCAATTGAAGGTGAAAGCGCAAATTCTGAAGTGCAGTGGAACAATATAAAAGAAAGCATATTAGATACTATCAGTGATTTAGTTGGTAAAGTTGAGAAGATAGCAGGAAAACCATGGGTTACACAGGAGATGATGAGTAANGAAGAAGTAGATACAGACGAGAAAGGACCATATATTTTACAAAGTGAGGTGGAAAAATCTATTGAGGACATGAGGATTGGAAAGGCTGCAGGAGATGATGATGTACCTGGAGATGTGCTCAAGTTACTGGAAGAAGGTGGTTTGAAAACACTGACAAAACTAATAAACACCATATATGAAAGTGGAGAGTGGCCCAAGGACTTTACAGAAGTTACAATGATTGCCTTAAAGAAAAAGACAAAAGCTACAAAATGCAGCGACCATCGCACAATAAGTCTTATTGCACATACAGCAAAGATAATAGCAAAGATACTTAAAAGAAGAATTGAAAGGAAAATAGAGGATGTACTTGGAGAAGATCAGTTTGGATTTAGAAGAGGAGAAGGAACCAGGGATGCAATTGGGATGATGAGAATTATAGCGGAACGAACTTTGGAGATAGATGAAGAACTGTGTGTTTGCTTCATAGACTGGCAGAAGGCATTTGACCGGGTAAACTGGACCAAATTAATGCAGATCCTGAAAGAAACAGGTATCGATTGGCATGAAAGAAGATTGATTAGCAAATTGTACATGGATCAGAAAGTTAGAGTACGACTGGACAGGGGGGAGACAGGAAGTGTGCAGATTGGAAGAGGAGTTCGACAAGGATGCTGTTTATCACCAATTCTGTTCAACTTGTACAGCGAATGCCTTACCAAGGAAGCTCTGGATGGGCTCGGTGACTTCAAAGTAGGAGGGCAAATTATTCAAACTGTGAAATATGCAGATGACCTTGTGTTAATGGCTAAGGAAGAAACTGTGCTACAGGGCATGATTGATAGACTAATTGAAATTGGAAGGTGCTATGGCATGGAAATGAATGTGGAAAAAACAAAAGTAATGAAAATTTCGAGACAACCAACCCCAGTCACAATAAAGATAGACCAAAAACAACTGGAGAATGTGAAATGTTTTAAATATTTGGGTAGCTTGTTAACAGATGATGGAAGGTGTACGTGTGAAATTAAATCTAGGATTGCCATGGCAAAAGCTGCATTTAGCAAGAAGAAGAATCTTTTTACCAGCAAATTGGACTTAAATTTGAGAAAGAAACTAGTGAAATGCTACATTTGGAGCATGGCTTTGAATGGGGCTGAAACTTGGACACTTAGGGCAGTAGATCAGAAACACCTGGAAAGCTTCGAAATGTGGTGTTGGAGAAGGATGGAGAAGATCAGTTGGACCGATTATGTGAGAAATGAAGAAGTGTTATTTAGAGTCAGTGAGCAGAGGAATATCCTACATGAAATAAGAAAACGGAAGGCTAATTGGATTGGTCATATCTTATGCGGTAACTGCCTTCTAAAAGAAGTTATTGAAGGAAAGATATAGGTGCGGATAGAAGTGATCAGAAGACGAGGAAGAAGACATAAGAAGATGCTGGATAACCTTGGGGACAGAAGAGGATATTTTCATTTGAAGGAGAAAGCTCTAGATCACATCAAGTGGAGAAACTGTTTTGGAAGAGACTGTGGACCTGTCATCTTGACAGATTACAGATGATGATGATGATGATGATAAAGCTACAGATTACATTATATACATTTGTTTTGTGCTGTTTATTCTTTTATAAGAAAAATGTTGAAAATGCCTGAAAACTACTATCTTATTAATACAAGTGTTCACAAACTCACCCATGCAACTTTACCTTTCGTTTATACTAGTCAGATCATTATCATACTACCAAAAACAGAGTTTCCATACTCACTGAAGTCATGTTGCTGTAAGCCAGATCTAAAACCTCACCAACCTTCTGTGTGCTGAAGCCCAGAAAGGATGAATAAAATACTCGGAGCTCATCTCTTGTGATCACTCCTGAACCTGAAATCAAGTATTTAAGTGAAAGGAAAGTAAGCTCATGAGTCTCTTTCTGGAATTTCTTGCAGGTTTGTACATTCCATGACTAAATGAAGTAGAAATTTGAACACACTTATCTTCCATTCTTTCTGTACTACTTCGCATAGGTTCACTGCTATGGTACATCGTTATTGTTGGAAAGCCACATGCACTGCAGATATCACACTGCATAAACCAGAAATATTTTTCTTCATGTTCTTTTAAGTCTTCATGAGATTAAAAACTAAATCATATGAATGCTGAAGATCTCACTAAGACCTACATTTCATTCCATGTACTTCTAATACAGTGAGCCATTCCTTTTTAGGAAATTGATAGACTGCAACCTGGGCAGCCTCTAAAGTGGGAGACATACTGGATGGATGCTAATATAAATTAAAGTGGCACAAAATTTTATTGTGATTCCCAATGTGAAACTGTGTCGAAATCCTCTCAGCTGCTTCTCATGTAAAACATGAAGACATACACAACTTTTCCTACATGTGTTCCTTTCATGCATTTTGTGTACAGAAAGTTGTTGGACATCAAGTAGCTCACCACTTTTGTTGATCACAAGGAAGATGATCTTGGAGAAGTACTGTAGCCAGAGGGGGAAGTCCTGCAAGTTCCGTGCTGAGTTCATCATCTTACTCCATTGTGCCAGCCAGTGTTCCATGCTCGCAGTTCTTGGAAGATGTGGCTCTTCTACAGTTGTGTCAATGAATGTTTCTACAAAACCATGCTGTACTTCACGCAAAACATGGAATTCAGCTGAGTTGGTTGACCAATCAGCAAAATGGCGTAAGCGCTGAAATGGAAAGTGTATGATTCTAGTGTGTGGACAGTATTTCAGATGAATATTGACCAATTCCATGACAGGCTAGATCATTTGAAAGTAATAAGTGATCAGTCAAAAATATTTAAGAAAGTACACTCTGTCTCTAACCTGAGGGCTATATTACAACTAATAAATACACTCTGTGAGCAAATTCCCAAATTCCTTGACATGAAATCAGGTGGTACTCATATTTCCCTCTGAAGCATTAAGTGTTAAATCTTTTCATTCAGAAATCATGCTACAATTGAGTCATCCCTCAAGGACTATAGATGGCGAGTAAATCCAAAATCACATATAGTCAGAATTATCCTTGCAAACCCTTTAAATCTCCAATAAATTACATGCTCTTGCATATACCCTGTAATATGTACACATGAATATAATTTATGTAATGAGTACAAAAACAAAATTGTAAAACTACCCCCTCTAACAGGCCGTGGAGGCCCATAGGCTTGTGAGATGTTGAGGCTCCCACATTTTCTAAACAGTTGGCTCACAGATGGCTGTGAGGTTGTCAGCCTTATGTGCCAGCCACCCTTTACCCCAGGAAGATTCCTGGTAATCATTTCTGTTAGAGGCTGAGTTGACCCCAGGGCTATAGGGTTGCTAGAAGGATTAGGTCAATTGACAAATCCAGTGATGTCTTCAGGAATTGAACTCACTACCTTCCAGCTTGTAACAAAGGGCCTCAATGAACTATGCTACTGCATGTCCCACAAAGAGTAAATATACAAGTAAAATGTACAGCAATTTTATTTTTAATTACATATGTAGATGATCTTATCAGTTCATGTAACTCTTAGTTAACCAATGTTTCTTGATGGCCCACAGTTAACTTTTTAATTTCTTCCTTGAGAATGTCGACAAAGCCATCACATTCTACTTGCCTGGCCACCTGAACAATGCTTCTCACTTCATAGACAATGGTCAGGAAAGCCTTAAAATCATTCACAAGTTCACTCCATAGGTTTCGCTAATATACACTGACTGTACAAATCTTGAATTTATCCATTACCTGTTTAGTATAAGTGATAAAATCGCCAAGTCAGAGCCCTATTTTTTTTGGGGGGGGGGCGAACTCTTATGATTGAATTTGCATAAGTTAAATATGAGTATGATGTGACTCCACTGTATGAGCAAAATAAAATAATTTTTTACTAATTCTTCTGCCTCTAATGCAAACTTAAGTATTGTATCATATGATACATCAACTGAAGATAATGATACAATACTAAATGACCATGGAGATTTAAGAGTATCTAATTATACATACAATTTGTACAAGGTGCTGTGTATAAGGGTAAAGGTTCAAATACTGCCGGCCTTTTTTTCTTGTACATGCATCATCAAACCAAGATCAAATGAGTAGTAAATAATCAACAGTGTTAATAGAGTAACTATCAATCCCTAAATTCCAAAATTAAAGAAAAAAAGTAAACCTAACTACTTTAAAATGGAATTTTCCTGTATATAATATTTTTAACAATCTTCATTCATATGTTTTGCATCCTGTTGCATATTTCACTGCCATGTAAACATGCACATCGATCACGACACTTTTGTTCCCAACAACACAGTCAGATGCAACACATCAGCAGAAGCAACGAAACTATACCTCAACAAAAAATCATGAAACAGCACCATGAAACAAAACAAGACGGCACGAGGCCATCGACACCAACTTATACTCACATAACAACAACATTTACTCTATAGGATCAGCAATGCGCACTTGTACAACACTCACGTTCCCATAAGGACAGAAAGTCGGAAAGCATATTACAGCTAAGTAGCAATAAATGCGAGTTCTAATAATGCGATATTCGATTTATTGCGAACTGTACAACGATACCAGGTCGCGTTTATTGTGAAGAAAAATTCAGTTAATGCGAGGTTAGCGCATGCGAAGTTGAGATTTCCGTTAGGGTTTTAGATGCTGCTAATTCGGTTTATTTAAACGCACAATCGCTGGAAGCACTTCTGGAAGGCTTCTTTTGGAATGGCGTGCAGCTGCGCCGTCGCGTTCTGTATGATGTCCTCGCGGCTGTCAAAACGGCAGCCTTTTAGCGGTGTCTTCAATCTCGGGAACAGCCAGAAATCACAAGGGGTCATGTCAGGAGAGCAGGGAGCCTGGCGAACCTGAGGAATGCCGTGCTTGGCCAGAAAACCCTGGATCAGGTGTGATGAATGAGCTGGGGCGTTGTCATGATGAAGCTGCCAGTTGCGTGCGTCCCACAGCTCCAGTCTCTTGGGCTGAACTGCATCACGAAGATGGTGGAGGACTTCTTGGTAGTATTCCTTATTGACAGTCTGGCCTAGTGGTGCGTGCTCATGATGCACAACACCCCGGTAATCGAAAAAAAAAACAGTCAGTATCACCTTCACATTGCTCCGAACCTGCCGTGCTCTTTTGGGCCTCGGGGATGTTGGATGCTTTCATTGTGACGCCTGGACCTTGGTTTCCGGGTCATATCGGTACACCCACGACTCGTCACCAGTGATCATAGTCTTCAGGAACTCAGGATCCCTGTTGGCGCACTCCAACATGTCCTGCGCGACCTCAAGGCGGAGTTGTTGCTGCTCTGGCGAAAGCAGCTTGGGCACAAATTTTGCCGCCACTCTTCGCATGCCAAAATCCTCAGTTAAAATTGTGTTTGCGGAACCTCTGCTGATCCCAACTTCATCAGCAACTTCACAGCTGGCCAAAGGACGGTCCTCCATGATCAGTGTCTGCACTTTTTCAATGACATCAGCATTTCGGCTCGTTGACGGTCTCCCGGAACGCTGCTCACTGTCCGCCGACATACGGCCATGTTTAAAGCGGTTGAACCACTCTTTAATTTGAGTGACCCCCATTGCATCATCGCCGAAAGTCTGCTGAATTTTGCGGATTGTTTCCGCTTGGGTATCCCCAAGTTTCTGACAAAATTTAATGCAGTATCGCTGCTTCAAGGGTTCTGTCATCTTGAGCGAAACGAGAATGCGATGAACACGTATTACACCACTTCGTTATCTGGCAGCCACAGAGGCATCCGGCAGTGTTGCGAGTCAGCAAAAAATCACGCATGTGCATGAAAGTCCCTTCTACCACTACGCTCAGTTTCCTCACCCCTTTGGCCATTACTTATAGCGGAAAAAAATTAAGTCGGATACTTTTTGGACATACGCTGTAATTTTATGTAAAAAATTTACATGTCAAGACTATTTAGCAATATATCCACTGCGACACGGTGACTCATATTGTTGTTTATAAACGCCTTATAAAGGTCGTAAATGACCGAAACATGTAGCAAAACAGCACATTAATAAAACTGCGTCATGTACATCCATTGCTAAGCAACGCCCGCAAAACACACACTGTCCAACACGCAACAATAGAATAACGGGTTTATGCAACCCATTTTAGGTAACGGCTAGGTAAACACAATTCCGCGCAGGTGCAATGACCTCACCGCAACAGTGGGTAGCTTTCATGTGACGTATATTTTCTGTGGGTCCAGCCAGCTCGCCAGTGGACTGGCGAGATAGCCGTCATGTGACATGCGTTTTCTGTAGGCGTTTCCCATGCCGAGGAGCTATCTTGAAGACATTCGGCGCTACAAGTCAGTTCAGAGTTCGGCCCAGGAGATTCCAGTCATACAGCGAATTTGAGCTCAGTGCAGTTGAGAGTATAAGGACGAGAATAGAGCATGTTCTTAGTTAATTGTGAAGATTAGTTGAGTACAGATTAGGACAGAGGAGTACAGAGGGATTCAAGACGAAATAACAAGAAGTCTTCATAGTGATTTGAAGTGCTAGCTTCTGTGTTGAGATCCGTTGTCAGGAGACGATTAGTGAAGTGGAGAATCCTAATGCGTGTGCAACGGTGAACTGAAAGTGTGCAGAATAGCAATAGAGTTATAATTGATTGTGATTAAGAGAAAATGTAGCCGAAGTGCTAACAAATTCAATCATCCGTTATTTTCATCGCGCGTAACCCCATACGCGTGACAAAACTAATTGATTTTATTGACAATTTGAGTCTTATCAGTTATTTATTGAAAGTATAAAATTGTTGTGATCGACAGACATATTTACAATGATTTTTAACATATTATTATCATACAACCGTCAACACAATTTCGTAATAAATAACCAATGTTGTTGTATTATCGATTGCTTTATTATGTAATGTAAATTAATTAATTAAAATGTAAAACGTTATAACTCGGTTGAAAGTTGGAAGTTAAAAATCAAATTTTTTTTTGTATTAGCGTGGAGTTAAAGTCTATGATGTATCGTAGAGCAGATGTTTTTTTCTGGGAATCTGCGTTGTTTTTCAGTTCTTTGTGCACATATTACATGGCAGATTTCTGCATGTATGTGAAATTATGTTCTATTTTCATTTTTATTATACTCTACGATACATCATAGATTTGCACTCCACGCCAAATCTCTCTCCCCTCTCGCTCCCACTTTGGAGCATAGGGCTGATTCATGGTCATTTTTACAGAGGGTAGGACTCCTCGGACGGGTGATCAGCTCCTTGCAAGGCCTCTACCTAAACATATGCAAACACAAACACAGAATAAACGCATACACGCACCAATCATCCATGCATTTTGTTTGATTCGAACCCACGATCAGGCTTACAAGCGAGCGAAGACAGTGCATGCCTTAGACCACTCGGCTATCGCGACCAGCCCACGCCAAATACATGACAGGAAAAAAATATTTTAATTTTTTATTTTTTAACTTTTAACCGAGTCATAACGTTTTACAGTTATCCGTCAACAAGAACCGTTCGCTATGTCTGATCGCTCCATGGCATGCACCTTGGAGGGAAAAATTACAATCCGAAGCAATATTTGGGTATTTACCCTCATATTCATTCTATGGAGTCAAATACATTATCAGCTAAATATCTTGAGCCATAAAATAACTGCGTATGACGACATGCATTAAGTTTACCTCACTGAGCGCGTCGAAGTCTTGTGCTGAAATAAGGCTGTCTTTGTCCCAGTCGAGGAGGTGGGTGAAGAAGTGGCTGAACTTTTCCTTCTGTAGCTGAGACAAACAGCTGCAAGAAGACGAGTCCTGGGATTCCTCTTCACTTGGGACTCGACTCACCCATGTTGCTGGAAAACATGCTGCACGTATATTCCCATGGCAGGAACGAATGCGGGATACAAGGCAGGAGTGATGGAAGGAGGAAAGAAGGCAAGGAAAATAACCCTTTCCATGTAAAGATATCTAAAGAAGAAATAGAAGAACCCTTTGGTTTGCATATACGTGTATCTGTGCTAACTCACAGCTTGCACTGGACTTATATATGTAACAGCAACATGTACGTATTTCACAGTCTCTAGATATAAGAGTTAAGATTTAATTTAACTAACTGATATTGTTAAATTAAGTCATATTCTCAGTAGAAGAGAGCGATGTTCTTAAGCTAGATGTATGATTTTAAGCTCTGAAAGTGCTAACAGGATAATCGTTAAAACCTCTCAGAACTTAGATCCAATGCTAGAGAAATATCAAAGTCGAGAAGGATTTTAACAGAATGGAAGCAGAAAGACTGTCATTTATAAAACAACAATGATACGTTCTGGAATTCTTCGATATTCTTCGCCATTTAAAGATCTTTCTTTTGTGTGTGAAATATTTCGAGCTGAAATAATATACAGTGAATTTTATTGAATTATTTGTGGAAAACAGAGCGGTAACTTTTCAAAGACCAACACAGTTAGATTAAACAATTTTTTATTTTACGTGTTACGTGCGCGTTTGTCTCTGTATGAACATTATCATGACGCTTTTTTTTCAACAGCTTAAAGAGAAAGGTGCATGGGTTTGCATGTTTCAGGGCGAGATAATAGCCTACACAGGTAATGAAACTGACTCGGTTGGCAGGTATTCTGTCTTTCCTGCAGAATTCCATAGCTGTTAATTGTTCAGGAATTAAACTCTTACACATAAGATTCAGATTGTAGGTTCTCAAGGTGGTGAAAATTCGTATCATGGTCATCTTGTGATACCGCATACCTTGGCGCTAAATATTTGTAATCTCGATGCTGACAGAACTATTAAATAACCGTACAATCTATTAGGTGGATACCAACTTTTCTGGGGAATGTATTGCCTTCATCCTCAACGTAGAAGTCAACGCTGTTCTCCACCCACCAGACTAGACGGTGTCATAACGCAGATGACAATATTGTGACATGATCGAACAGCTTAACAAGATACGGCATTCGTTGCTAGACAATGACACGGTAAATACACGGTGACGTCACTAACCAGTAGCCGTTACTACGCAACGTCTGGTAAACAACGACTGTGACGCGTTGTTTCTATGCGGTCCACGCCGTTTTCTACCAAGATACACACTGGTCTGCGAGTTACATATGTCTTTCCAAGCACCATATATTTATGATTATGTAACGAAATTATGCAGGCAACAAGCAGAGGTCATGCAGAATCATAGAAGTGCAAATATTCGCCGCCAGTGTCTAGAATACAGCCTCCAATGTTGGGACGATTGAAAAAAGATCAATTGGAAAAAGGTCTTGATGGAACTGATCCTGGTCTAAACGAGATATCCCGACAGTTGCTTGAAGTGTCTAAAAAAATCATGAAGGTTCTCATTCGTGGGAGTCAGTGTGTCTGCCCAGATTCTCACTGGGCATCTCCCGAATACAAGCCTAGAGCACTATCTATCTATCTACGTATCTATGGCTCTACAGCCCTTTGTTGGACATGGCACGCTTTTCAGTTTCTTGAGCTTTTACACGGTCGATAGGGCTCTAGGGCTCCTTGGATTGGAGATCAGTCCGTCGCAAGACCGCTACCTGCTCACGGGATAGCACAAACAGAATAAACGCACACAGACATCCATACTTCAAGTGAGATTCGAACCCGCGATCCAAGTGTTTGAGGGGGCGAAGACACTTTATGCCTTAGGCCACGCTGCCACTACGATCGGTCTAGAGCATTACCGAAACATGGAAATGCTCAGTAAAACCGGCCAAATACCTCTAATTATCACACTATATATGTTTATAAGACAGTCTTCAATGGAGGGCCACCGGCCTTAGTCGACGTTATCACGTAGTCTACGATATGTTTCGGCTGTACAGGGGCGTGTTCAGAGATGTATGATGATTACGTAAATTGTTACACTGTAGCCTAGCAATATGTGGCCCGTGTCCAGACGTCTAAAAACGTATACCATTTGACCAAATTCTGGTGTCTGCTAAATTTATACGTAAAATATTTTAAATAATTTAAATGCTGTATAGTAGGTGTATTTGTGCTCATCTTGTGTGCTGATTTGTATTTGCCATGGTGATCTGTATTTCAGTGATGGTGGCCTGGTTACATTTGTTCTGGTCACTAAAGTGTATGAAAGATTTGAAGTTTTCACGGCGGTGACCATGAAGAATGCCGTCCTATGGGATGTGGCGCCATGTAGATCTAGTGTAAACCGACATTTCGGAGGAACCTATCGCCTCCATCTTCAGGGTAGAAAAATCCGCGAGCGAGGAACCAGGGTGAGCAGGTGGCTGCAGACTGAGTCACCAGTCAAAAACGCCCAGTTATATAAGAACAGGAAGAGACGGAGAGTGGGCCACAAGGGATATCAGTAGAGAGGAGAAGGTAAGCGTCTGTGGAGATGGGGCAGCAGGTAGCAGGTCAGAGACGTGTCGAGGGGAAAGAGGCAGGGGTACCGGGAGAGCATTGACCAAATAGCCTCGGGACTAAGCTGTTGAGCGTGCATCGACTGCACAGCCTTGTAGATCTGGTGTCATGTTCCGGAGGTTTCTTGAGGGAGCAGATGAGAGGCTTCCATGGCTTGCTGTGACAGAAACTCACCTCTCTGTTCATATTGTTGTGATGGAACTCCATCTCAATTGCCTCCATAATGACGCCATTCATGTATTGGGTCTGAGTGGCGTGGATGGCGGTATTATGAAACTGAATGCGGTGTCCCAAGTCGACGCTGTGTTCAACCACAACTGACTTGCCTAGATGTCGCTGATGCTTCTACAACCTCGTGTCCACGGAACCTTGCCGCACTAACAGAGGATCCTGTTTGATGTTGTGCCGGTACAGCACTCTGCTGAGTCGGCTGAATATAATCCAGACATAGAACGAAAGCGACAGAGTCTGGAGTATCGTCGTGCTGACTGATGTTCGGACGACGGTTGAGGACTCTGTGGATCTCTCGGTCGATGTAACCGTTCTGCCTGAAAACGTCCCTCAGGAAAACCAAGCCCACATGTAGGCTGGCTTGATCGCATATGGGTAGGTTTACGGTGCACACTATGGCCCACAGAACCGTCGGACCCAATATATGGATCGCATCGTTAGGTAGGCCATTGACTTTGAGCTCCATCCCAACAGTATGAACAGAGATGTGGGTTTCTGTCACAAGTCATGAAAGAGTCTCATCTGCTCCCTCAAGAAACCTCTGGAACAAGACGCCAGATCTATAAGGCTATGCAGGTCGATGCACGCTCGGCAGCTTAGCCCCGAAGCTATTGGGTCAATGCTCTCTCGGTAGGCCGCTTTTTTTCTTCCCGATACTGCTCTGACCATCTATATAGACCCTTCCCTTCTCCTCTTTATTGATTTCCCCTGTGACCCACACTCCCTCCGTTCCTGTTCTTATATAGCTGGGTGTTTTCGACTGGTGACTCAGTCTGCAGCCACCTGCTCGCGCTGGTTCCTCGCTCGCTGATTTTTCTACCTTGGAGATGGAGGCGATACGTTCCTCCGAAACGTCGGTTTACACTAGATCTACACAGCGCCACACCTCAGAAGACGGCATTCTTCAAAGTGTGTGAAATCCAAATATTTTTTAGTCCGGCTCAGCGTAGTTGAGAGAAGTCGAAAGAAATGAAAAGTGCAGTGAGTGATCAATGGCGTTGCCGTGAAATAACGAAGTAACCATCTGTGCCACCATCGTCAGAGGGATCAGAGACAGTCTCTGAAACGTCAGCAGTTTTTAAGCAACTGATGCTCCTGATAACCCGTGAATATTCCATTAACTATAAGACAGAACGTCATATAAATTGTCTTTTACAGCGAGCTTCCTAGACAGGGCACTTTTACGCGAATTTACGCATTACGGGTAGACCTAACTTCAGACCATGAGCCTCCAGCTCTTATATCTGTGTAGGTGCTTGCAAGGAAAACCAACTGTAACAGACATTACATTATCCTACCGTAGTTAGCAAGTTGCTTAACAGACGATGTGAGCAGTGTCGGATAGTTTGCACCATTACTATGCGTTCTCGCCGTCTCAACAAAATCTCGTCGCACCATAATCAAACTTCCTCTTTTTCCCGATCACAGAGCAGAGAGAAGAACCTCCTTCGTGCTTGGTATTGCCATGATTTTTTTCAGTTCCATTGCCTTCCCATTGCGGCGCTGTAAGCGGTCTATTTTAGTTTACCGTGAAACCTCCCCCCACCACCCACCCCCAACTTTGAAGTAAATTATTCAATATTCCTTGGAACAGAGGTAATGCCATCTTGCACCGTACATTCAGCAGTAATACTGGTCGCTGTAGTACAGCTATATACTATATATAATGGTCACATGGGAACTTCTTTCAGGAGTGATTTATACTTCGCTTCGATTTTTACTAGCAGGTGAATACAGCCTTCTGAGAAACGAAAAAAAAAAATAATAGCCTAAGGAACGTTACTTATAGTTCTCGAATATTGTACTCTTCACATGTCTCACTATTTATGCAGACAGATATGAGAATAAAGAGAACGGGAGGATATATAGTTCTTGGCTGCTCTGTGACAGTAATTATAACTTAATATATTTGCAAGGAAAGAACTTTCTGAAAAGAACTTCGCTACTCTGAAATGAATTTAGGGTCCTTTAAAATATTCTTCGTGTACCTAATTATATATAAAAACCATATAAGAAACTTCGTTTCACGTTTTTAGTCTGTGAGCAGTATTCTCAATATATTGCTTTTTATGAAGGGTTCTGTGAGGCACAAAAAGAGGGCATTGTTGTTTTCTTAATTTTAAAGAACATAAGCGTAGTCACAGAGGATTAGAGCTGATGACTATGCTAAATGTACCATGGTTTCGAATCCCAGTTCTCTAGTAATTTGTAGACATCCAGGAGCGATTTTGGACCCGTTGACTCATCTTTTGTTTTCAAGGAGTTCAGAGCTCGATTATATGTCCTGACGTTCTTAGTGATTCGCCTCAGTTCTGGCAGGCATGTTCTAGGGCAGTATGTGAAAATAAACCACGATTATTTCCTTCCGCAAGGTTGTCAATTCCTACCATTCAACGATGTACTCGTATTATCCGTGAAGCTTAGAAAACTTCGCTAAAGAAACCAAGAAACCAACAAGTCACGTTGAAATATGGGCCGGTGTTTCATGAAGTCAGTTTTTTCCTTAGCGCATGACTTCAAGAGCAGATGTGTCCCTCAATCTATACTACGACGACCACTATTGATTAATTCGTTCAGTCAAATTATTTATTATTTAGATCGACATGCGGACGGTAGGAAACTGCCTTATTCTCCTTCGATTATTTCACCTGACACAGAAGAAATTCATATTAAACTCAAACATTTAAATGCATGATAAATAATCTCTTCGGAAAGTTCGTCCGTCATTGATGATATTTCTGCTCCTGTTTACTTAAATGCACAGAGACTTTATCGAATGTGTTTGTTCTAGTTGTCTGAAAAGGAGCACTGGATTGAACATAAAACGACTTGCAATGGAAAACTTCTCTGGTCCCGAGATTAGAGGAAGAAAACTGTTAAGTTAGGCCTAGAAAAAAAAGCACTTCAACACTGAAATTAAAAGAAAAAAATAAAACTAATTTAACTGAAATTTCTGCTAAAATATTATTTTCTGTTTATATAATTTTGTCGCTAAATCTTCTGCCTCGTATACATCCGAGAAGGAATATTCTTTTCATAAATTAGGAAGAATTAAGCTCGATAAAGTATGTCCAGAATGAGAGAAACAGAGGAAGGAAGAAAGAGATAAATGAAGCAACCAAGAAGGCAGGATGTAGAGGAAGAAAGGAAGAGAGAGTGAACGAATAAAAGAAAGAAAGAATTCGCAGTAGCTGACAAATTTCCTAAGAGATCATTCTGTTCTGTTCGAGATTACAAACCCGCGCGTGATCATTCACACGTATTAAAACAGCCGGTACAAACCGAAGATGCTGGTACCTGAGAACTCACCCCAGACATGGACGCTCCACCCGTGATCCTTCTCGTGCTGCGCTCTCGCCACGGCTGCTGCATTAGCTATTTCTGACTCGGGAAGGGTGCGCCATCGTTTGAGCAGTTCCTTGGTTCGATCCTTGGTACGGTCGCAAGCCTGGCGCCAGTTCGCGATGAACTTGCGGGGGATGCGAGGAGACACTTCCTGCTCGCCAGCACTTCCGCGAGAATCGCGTTCCGATTTGCTGTCGTGGTTCTCCTTACCCTCGTGGCTCTTGAAGCTGTCCTTGTGCTTAAAACTCGAGCTTTTGCTGTCCTTTATGCTGTTATGTCTGCTTGCCGTCTTCTCGTTCAAACCGGACTCCATGGCATCAGCCGCATTTCACATCCTTACAGCCGGAAGTTCCTGAAAAACGTTTAATTGAAATTCCAGTAACATCAGTTCAGATGGGCTCCAGCGCGCCACAACTGGGAAGGGGCTTAACGGCTCAGATTTCCCTTTAAAGCTCTAAAGGTTTGTAATTCGTGTACACCAACTGTACCTCAAACAGTGGACAATGTCCAACATAATGTTCGTATAACATTCGCCCCTTTCTGTCAGCAACAATGACAGAATAATATTGGTCCCAATGAAGAATGGCAGACAGCTTTATTGTAGAATAATTTCCGACTTTCACCTTAATGAAAATATTTTGAGACTGAAAGAAACTAAAGCGGAGTCTTCCGGTAACAGTCCTATACTTCCGCTGCTCTAAATCTGCAGTGCCATAATTGTTATATTTGTTTTATATAAAGCTTTTACACTAAATTTAGTCAGATGCTGCAATTTAAGATTTTGAAACATGTGATACATTCTTAACCCCAGTACTGCCTGTAGACGACCAGGCTAATTTTAGTGACTCAGAGACTGGTCTCCAATGAGCGGTTAACAAGCTTCAAAATTTAGCAAACCGCTTTAACGTGTTAATTTAAACAATGAAAACAAAAACCATGGTCTTTCAGGGGAAAAGCATATAAGGCGTACAGTAATTATAGATAACCAAGTAATAGAACAAGTGTCAAGTTTTAAATATGTTGGCTTCCATAATTTTTTAAAGAAGAAATAAATATAAAGCTAAATAAATTTCTGAAAATGCCTGGAATAATAAGAACACCGAGGGAAAACCCTTGGAACGTAGACAATTAAGCTTGTGCTCGCCTCGACCTATGCAAGAGAAAATTTTACGATTAATCGCCAAGAAAGAAATCGAGTCAGCTGTTGAATTTTGAATGTGTTCAACTACATAACAACAAGAACTGCCTAAGAGAACGTCTGGTGGCTTACAAATGAAACTTCTACAGTTACGCACGCCTTGAGAGCCTCTGCTGTTGACATTCAAAAGGAAACAGAACAAGGATAATTGACGACTCCAAGTAAGAAGTGGGTAATGAGAAAAGTAAGAGTTACGTGATTAAATAAGGGTGTAGTAAAGTGGGAATGAACTTCCAATGCCGAACTCGTATGGCACTAATAAACAGTTCTCTTTATCAACCTCATTTTAAAAGATCAACCCTTCATATCATTCTGAAAGTGATCCATTTTGTTTATGAAATGAAAAAAACAGTTCATATTCTCCAAGCGTCAAAAATAACTGAGACAGTTAAAAAGTTACGATTAAAAATTAAATACTGGTTCATTAACAACTACTCGGAAAAATATATACGGGAACATAAATTAATTAAATGTCCCAGGCAAGCTTTACAGCTGGTGGGTATTCAAGATGGAGTTAGTTAATTATTTACGCAGTTTAGTTCGTTAGTTAGTTAGTTAGTCAGTTAGTTAGACATGATTTTCTGGCATGACTTCCCGCCTGGTTAAGATTAATGCAAATCGCGATCAGAGTTTCACAGCAATACATGCCGGCAATGAAATCAGATCCTTGCTGAAATGTTGCTATCTAACCAGCCTGCACAATCTGTAATTATTTTCGACAATGCTGCCTAATGTAATTTGCCAAGGGTATCTCAGAAAAGGGATAAAATACCAAAGAAACTTAGATTATGTTGTTAATATATTCCTTGTATTTTAATAGACAGAGGGTGTTTGAGGACAGGGTGTTGAAAATATTTAGACCGGAGAGAGATGAAGTGACGGGAGGTTGGAGAATAGTACATAATGAGGAGCTTCATAACTTATACTCTTCTCCAGGTATAATTAGAATGATGAAGTCAAGGAGGACGAGGTGGGCAGAGCATGTAGCACAGATGGGGGAGAAGAGGAATGCATATAGGATATTGCTAGGAAAGCCAGAAGGAAAGAGACCACTAGAAAGACCAAGACGTAGGTGGGTGGACAATATTAAAATGGATCTTAGAGAGAGAGGATGGGATGGTATGGATTAGATTGATCTGGTGGAGGATTGGGACCAGTGAAGAGCTCTTGTGAATATGGTAATAGACTTTCAGGTTCCATAAAATTCTAGGAAGTTCTTGAGTAGTAGCACAATTTGCTTATTCTCAAGAAGGGCTTAGTACGAGTATTTTAATAATATCTTCATAGAAGTAGTTCCGGTCTCACAATTAGCAACTTAACCAACATTCAATTCTCGTCCACCTCTGACAGGGCACTTTCTTTCTGCCTGTGCTGTACTTCATTCGAAGCGCATAGTTAATCGCTAGAAACAGCATTTGGCAAATGTGTTGCCGTAAGAGCTCTGGTTTCTAATAAGCGCTGGGTAAGTAACAGATCACCCCGGTATTTGCAATGCACTGCTCTTTACTGCAGCTCATAAACATGAAGAAAGGATCCAGATACACGTATATCACCAAGGTCTGATACTCAGGGCTTACAGATGGAAATTACTAAATTTCATACTTATGCATAGGATTTAGACATATATACAGTATGTGGTTTGGGTTGGAGTTGGACACACGCACATCCCTTGAGAGGGTGCGTTCTATGAGAAACAACCCTTTGCATGATTGCACATCGCTCAAAGCGCCTGTCAGAGAAGCCAGTTACGTCACAGGACAACGGACTGAATTAGAACAGTAGCAGGACTTCATGACCAAAGCACCAGAGGGAAGACTGCTCCTCGTTCTCGTGTTTTCAGCAGCCGCGTCACGACCTGCTATAATATTGCTTGAAACGTGTCTACCCTTCAGTTGGCCCAAGTGATAAACAACTCTTCGCTCTTATATTCGTGAGGAGCTCAGTTCGAATATAGGCCAGGGCATTCACTATTATGAATGAGGAACTTCTTGACCTTCCTCAGTCCCTGAGAGTAAATGTCAGGAAGATACATCTAGTTGTATCACGATCTCTTCCTTCCATGTCCTTTTCAATTTATTATTTACTAATTACATACATACATAGCATTCCATAGATCCATGAGCTAGCCAGATGACCTACCGGATGTGGAATTAGTCAAAAATCATACAGTACATATATACATGCACAATTCAAGTTCACATAAATAGTAAGGATTTCACAAAAGTAGTAAAATATCCATCATAAATCCATACATTAACATATACTNTTTTTTTTTCCTGTGTTCCAAACAAGAGAAAACATTACATACACTTTATGTTGTTTGGAAGCATAAATTCCTCAACAGAGTAAAAGGAGTGTGTAATTAAGTATCTCTTTAGTGCTACTTTAAATTGTCCCTGTTTATCTATAAGAGTTGTGATATTTGGTGGTAGATTGTTGAAGATTTTAATGCCAGTATAATATGCACTCTTCTGGAAACAAGAGAGGCTGGCAACTGGTCTGTGAAGCTGAATTACCATATCATTCGACGTTGCAGAATCTGAGCGACTGATAATGTCGTTAAATAAATGAAAAATAAATAACAAATTTACAACCTTTATGGTATGTACCCTGTTGTGTGTTATTTACGAAAAGATAGGTATTTTGGGACAGTCGCACAACAAAGAAACAAAATAGACTCTACTGTGTTAACATTCGTTTTTATTTGTTGTTTGTGGCATTGCGATCCCAAATTATTTCTTTTCGTAAATAATAAATTTAGCAGCCCTAGAATTTCGGTTCCCAACTCAGAGCAGACAGATGTACTGAAAAATCATAAATATACGCTCCAGAGGCTTTATTTGCTAATTATCCTTCCTTTATTTTTTGTTCTCATTTATTGCAGCCATTAATTCACTATTACGAAACTGAATATCGTACTGAAGAGAAAAAACTAATTCTTTTTTTAATTTCGTTAAATATTCAACATATCGAAAAATTCTCGATCTTAATGAGGTACACATTCCATGACATGGACTGATTTTGGCTTCCATGAAATACTTTAGATTAAGCTGATTAAATTTCTACTTGTGCACAATGTAAACTAAGTGTTATACTGAACGGAAATCTACAGCTTTAGTGTGGAGTGACAGTACCAAATGCTACAAATTTTCGTGAGCGGTTTCGGAGATTAAACATATGGAGAGACAGAATAGATCTCCACATTATGCACCCATTTTATAAATTTTATGCAAAGACTCCACATAAAATAATAATAATTCTCGTAATAATACAAAAGGAATAATTGTAGCTGTGACGAATGACAATTTATACTTATAAAAGAAAACATGGAGAGGGTAGACAGAAAGAAAATCAAAGAGGAAGGTATGGGCCTAAAGCGAGGCGAATGGAATATAACACTGATGACGTCAGTTATGAATATGAAAAATTAAATAAAGATAGATACAGAAAGCGAAAAGAGAAACGTAGATGAAAATTGCAGAACTATTCCTTCTTCTCATGGGATCTGGCTGCTTGCCCTGTCATATTACAATATTCAGTAGCCGAAATTTTAAGGAAAGGATAACATTGTAATAATATGTTCATCATTAATCAATATCTTGTCGTTGTATATTTCGTTCTTTATTAACACTTCAAAATAATTAAGCAGAATTCTTCTTCTTTCTGACACTGGGAATACTACATCGTACAACTAGTGTAATGTGTTACGTCACTTTCTTTCAAAACACTATAAACGCCAAACTTTGCACTCGGCATTTTCATCGGAAACGCACAGCATAACAATTAATTCACCCTCACACATGTTTATGGTAGAGGGGGATTGACTATATAAAGGAGAGACGTGATAAACAAATATTTACTCAATAAATAAATGTTCCATAATTGCCCGCATTTCCTACAAAGGTTTTATGGACTGTACATATGTGTATATGCATATTAGTTAAAAACCCAACATGATGCTCCAGAAGAATATTTCTAGATACAGAGAATAAGAACTACGAGACGAAGAGAAAACAAAACCTCTTAGCTTCCAGCATTATCTGCAGATATGTTAAGGGAAACATAATCTAAATAATGCAGACTAAGAACTCTCAACCTGGTAATTGAAGTAATTTCTTGCAATATTATTTAAGTATTGTGGCAAGTGCAAAGCA